TTAGGAAGCAAAAAGCCCAAGAGATGGCCGACGAAGCAGGTCGCGCTCATGGATGGCCTGGGCACGGGGCAAGTACTCGCACTTTTTGCTTGCCTTGTGACCCGCCTTGCCCCGTTTAAAATCAGCAAATACCGACCCGTGACCTGCCTTGTCAAGTACAAGTACTTGCCCGAATTTAGCCAACCCGCAAGCTACTTGCCTTGCACATATACTTGCCCGTTCAAATCCAAGGGAAAAAAAAAATTCAACCAAAACGTAAAAGAGTTTTAAAATTCAAGCATTATCCAAGTTTCCAAACATTCAAAACTCAAAAGAACATAAACACTTAAAAATAGTAGATATAGTGTTCACAAAACAATAACAAAGTTTCCAAACAAATTCCAAGCAAGTAATAGCAAAGTTTCCAAGACAAAGTGATAGCAAGCGCCAAGCGGTTTGGTTTCCTTGCTCTTTTGCTCCTGAATTTTGTCCTGTAAAAGAAAGTGATAACAAGACTTAGATGCAAAACAAAAGTTCCAAAACAGCCATGAATATCAAAGATAAATGGATAATGTCTCAATGAGTACTCACAAGTCAAAACCAATAGGTAATTTGTGGTTCACAATATAGTTAGAGTATTACATGAAAAAATATCACACCAAACATAAAAGAAAGAATGAAACCAATCAAAGGAAACAGTATCTTTACCTTTTTACTCTTCCTCGAAAGTTAAGCTAACTCCTTGGACCAAATTTCCATAAGCATTTGAAGCAACAATCTCTGTTTAACAACATATAAAACATGTAAGTTCGTAAGTTTCATCAAAAATAATATAAAGAGAAGTTATAAGTGTATATTACCATCTTCTAGACTTTGAAGACTTTCAAGTTGCTCTTCCAAACAACTCTGATCATAATCATTGCGAATCCAATCTTGTGTACATATCAAAGCTTCAACCGTTCTTGGAGTGAGAACTACGAAAAGCATCAATGAGTCGACCACTTGTACTAAAAGCTGACTCGGAAGCAACCGTTGAGACGGGTATAGCCATTAGATCTCTGGCCATTAAAGAAAGAGTCTTATACCTTGATGCTGACCTTTTCCACCAATGTAATATATTGAAATCTGGATCCGATCTAGGAACACATGGATCAGATAAATAGCTCTCCAATTCTGTTTGATCCCCAGAATTTTCTTCACTTTCTTCATGTATATCAATCAGAGAATCAAGATCATAAGTATTCTCAGTGTCTTCACCGGTTTCTGTAGTTGGATTTGGTCCTTTAGCTTGGTTAGTACGCACAGGAGGAGAATTCCAAGTCTTAGCTTCATAATGCTTGTACATTTGGTCTAAAACGAAGCGCACTTTTGCAATCAAGGCTCCGGCTATGCTATTTCTACCACTACCATAGCTCTCACGGATTATAAAGCTCACATTCTTCAGCTTATACCTCGGATCCATAACGCAAGCAACAAAAATCATCACATTCATGTTCTCCATATCTCCCCAGTATTTATCAAATTTAGTCTTCATTCTACTAGCCATCGCTTTCTGATTAATATCAGTTTTGTTGAGCCCCATCTTTCTTATCATTAAACCAACTCCAAAGATCTCCTTTAGATAAGCATTTCCAGTCACGAAACGAGTTGCAGAAACTTTTAATGTGGCATCATAAAAGAACTTGAGGATCGGTGTATACGCCTTTGCATAGTCCCAATCAAGTTCAGTAGGGACACCCTCAGACTTCCCAAGCTCACATACTTATCATCCTCTGATGCAAGCATATCAAAACCCCTCTTAAGCTTTAAAGCCGACTCCAAAATCAAATACGTTGAGTTCCATCTTGTCTCAACATCAAGACATACACCAGCCGTAGAAGTTAACTTCAAGTGAAGAAGACACTCTCTGAATTTGTGTTCTCTTGCTGGAGAGGACTTCACATACTTAACAGCAGCTCGTATGCGGCTAATGGTGGTTTTTTTTTCCTCCAATCCATCTCTGACAACCAGATTGAGGATATGTGCACCACATCTCATGTGAAGATATTCACCATCAAGTAGACTAGTACCCCATGACTTGAGCCTTCTTTTCAAAAATCTTATTCCCACATCATTTGCACTCGCATTGTCTACTGATTGTGAAAACGTTGTTGATACCCCAAGACATAAAGCACCTCTCAACCATTTTTCCAATTAGCTCTCCTTTATGACTGAGAATTTGGCAAACGTTTATGATCTTCTTCTTCAAATTCCAATTCTCGTCAACGAAATGTGCTGTCAAACACATATAGTTGATGTTTTGAATGGAAGTCCAAGTATCTGTTGTAAGAGAAACACTCCCTCTGTGTTTCTGAAATAACGTCTGCAGCTTCTTCTTCTCTTCAAAAAAACAGACTCAAACAATCTCTAGTGACAGTTCTTCTTGAAGGTATTATAAACCGTGGCTGCAAAACGAAGAGAAATTCCCTAAATCCTTCTCTTTCCTCAATCCTAAAAGGTAGCTCATCCTTAATAATCATTACGACCAAGCCTTTCTTGCAATCTTCTGTATTATAGGGTAAGAATGATGGCACCCCTTCATCATTCTCATGTCTCTTGCCACGATGCATCAAAGTAGCTTGCTTGAATCGCTTACTACCAACAATCTCTACTTCAGCTTCTTACACCTAAGCATATGGTTCAACATGGTAGTGGTGTTCGAACTACCAGCCCGTGATCTATAGCTAACCTCCTGATTGCAGTGAATACACTTGGCGCTGTTCTTATTTAACGGATTGAAATTTAGCCATGCCTTAGATTTTGGTCTAGAAGTTACCTTAGATTCAACAGAGTCAATTGTTGGACCTGTTTCACCACCACAATCTGTCTCCATTTCTTCTCCATCAACATCAGGTTTCTCCTTTAGATCTTTATTGACATTTCCAGATTGTGAAGATTCTATCTACAAAGAATGAATTATGAGAGACAAAGAATGATAGACAACCATTTTACTTAGATAGAGAACTATCTTTAGGTAGATAGACAACTATCTTTAGTAAAGATACTCAACTATGTTTACATAAATATTCGAGTATCATAAAATATCTCACTATTACTATATAGATAGACAACCACCAAAGTCAACTATAATCAACAATTCCTCCTGCCATTCCATGACAATTAAGAGAAGGTAATTATAATTTAAATTCATCACTAAGACTATAATGAAATGAAACTCGCAATATCTAAAAAACTGATGCTAACATGCATATCCTCACAAGAAACAGTGAATCGAGTTGATTACTATGAATTAAGTTGAGAAACTTGAGAAATAGGTGAATAAAATGGAGAGCTAGGGAGAGACGAGAATTGAGAAATATTTTTGGAAGAAGATCTTACCGAAGGAAAGTAAACAGGGGAGAGGAGAGAGTTAGAGAGACGATGGAGGAGGGATACCACGAACTATGGTGATGGAGAATTGAAGATAAGAGAGCAGACTGTGAATCAGTGATATCCAGGAGAGATTTTGAATATTTAGAAATTGGAACCCTAAGTTCCCAAATCGAAGAAGAAGAGAGAAGAAGTAATTCAAGTGAAGAAAAAAAAGAGGCTAATGGGCTCAATTGAAAAACAAACGAATCAAATGAAAAAAAAGGCTAATGGGCTCAATTGAAAAGCAATATGTATAATGGGCTATGCTATATTATGAATTTATGATTTGCTAAGATGATAAAAAGGCACGGGGCAAGTCACCACGGGGCAAGTATTGAAAATAAAAATGCGACTTGATACTTGCCCCGTACTTGCAAGTATCTAAATTTTCCGCCTTGTTACTTGCCTTGCTCAAGGCGGGTACTTGCTTGAACAAGGCGGGTACGGGGCAAGTCACGGGTTTTGGGCAAGTAACGGGTACTTGTGCCCAGGCCTACGCGCGCCAATGAAGAAGGACGAGATCCACCTCCTCCTCCTCCTAATCCACAAGATCCTGCTGGAGATGTGAATGCACAACCTCAAGCTGGAGCACCTACAATCGGAGACTATGACTCTGCCGATGCTTTCTTCATGGATAGAAACCCTATCCATCCACCACTTCCTGCAAGGAATGACTATGAGATCAAGCCTCAGATCATAGCATTGGTTAGACAGAACCAATTCAATGGCCTTCCAGCTGAGCACCCTCTTGATCACATAGAAAACTTTGAAGAAATTTGCAGCACTACAAGATCCAATGGAGTCTCTGCTGACTACCTTAAGTGCAAGCTCTTTTCATTCTCTCTTGGCGACAAAGCTTCAAGATGGTTGAAGTCTCTGCCAGCTCACTCCATTACCACTTGGGATGAGTACAAGGCGCTTTCATCAACCACTTCTACACCAAGCAGAGATCAATTTCTGTAAGGAACAAGATCTCCACTTTCGCCAAGCCAACAATGAATCTTTCTATGAGGCGCTAGACCGATTCAAGGAGTACATTAGGGACTGCCCTAATCATGGTTTCAATGAGGGAAACCTATGGAACATCTTCTATCGTGGCATAGACCACAAGTACAAGCTTTCATTGGACACTGCAAGCAATGGAAACTTCATGACCAAGACTGTTGATGAAGCTAAGGTTCTTATTGAGAATCTTGCAGCTAGTGATTGTAACAACTGTCCTGATTATGACCGCTCAAGCCGCACCACTACTAGCTCCCCTGATTCTTTTCAAATGACTGAACTCAAGAACATGATGGCTCAAGTTCTTAAGGGACAGCTCAAGCATATCAATGCAATAGAAGGGATGAGTGATGCTAATGAAGATTCATCAAGAGAATGCATGGGAGATTTCTCTAATGAAGCCAATGAAGAAGATGTGAACTACATTGGAAACTATGGGAACAAGGGATACAATCCAAGCTATCGCCCAAACCCCAACATGTCTTATAGAAACCCCAATGTGGAGAATCCTCAAGACCAAGTGTATCCTCCAAGGTATCCACAACAACAAAGACCTCCTTACCAATCTCAAGGAAGTCAATTTCAGCCAAGGCAAGGATATGAGCAGAGATCATCATATCCGCCCAAGGAGCCATATGCTTCTTCACCAAATCAAGCTCCTCCAAACCAACAAGGTGGGAGATTTGAAGGAATCCTCCAACAGATCATGGATGGCCAGAAGAGAAAATAAAGAGATGTATGAGAAGATGGACACTTTGTTCAGCAATCTCAACACCAAGTATGATGCTGTTGCCACTCATGTGAAGAAACTAGAGACTCAAGTCACTCAAACTATGGAAGCTGTTAAGAGACAGGAAGCTGAATCCAAGAAGTCCTTTTGCAACTCAGCCGCCATAGAAGAAAGATTTGAAGACCAAGTTCCAGAATGGATGCTTTCAAAACCTACTGTTGATTGCATGATTTGGCCTGAAGAGAATTACCCAGAGAGAGAGTCCAATCGAGCTAGAAAGAGAAGACTCTTCCCAAAGATTATCCCCAAGACTGATAACTCAGGAAAGTTTGCTGTGCCTTGTATCATCAAAGGTAACATTCTTGAGCAATCTTTGTGTGACACAGGAGCCAATGTGAACATCATGTCTAAGAGGATAGCTGACAAGATAGGCCTCACCAAGATAGAGCCATCATCCATCTCCATCAACTATGCTGATTCATTCTCACAAACCCCCTATGGCTTTGTGCCTAATGTGATGGTGCAGATTGGAAATTGCTCTATCCCTACTGATTTCCAGATTGTGGAAATGAGAGAGAGTAGCCATAGACCTCTCATATTTGGAACCCCTTTCCTGTCTACTGTGGGTGCCATATTTGATTTCCCCAATCAAAGAATCTCTTTCAACAAGGTGAACAAGGGTATTGATGTACTTGCATTTTGCATAGTTTTAGTACATCTTTTATGCATCTTTTGCATAGTTTTAGCATCCATTTAGCATCATATCTTGTTCCTTTTCTCTTCTTATGCATTCATAGTAGTTTTAGGTTGCATTTGCATACATATGCATGTTTGGTCCTTTGAAATAGGTCTTTTGGAGCATTCTGGAGCATATGGGACAGAGGAGCATGGAGGGACTTGGCACATGGACGCAGCTCAACTGGATACGCAAAGGAAGAAGGAGAAGCCATCTTGAAGACCAGCTCGACCATCTACTCGACCAACCGAAGCTTCAACTCGATCGAGCTGAGAAGTCAACAGTCAAACCCGAAAAATGTTGCTTCCCCCTTGACTTTCCTTTGACCCTAAACCTAATCCTCTTTGTATTTAAAGGCTAAAAGCCACGAAAAAACCACCAAGCTTTAGATTACTTTTTGTTTTAGTTTCTTTTAATTTATTGTCTTTTACTTTTGAGAGCTCTAATCCCATCTTTGTGTTCTTGAAGCTCTTGCTTCTTGAATCCTAGATCCTGGATAATCTCTTTGTATTTGCACTTGCTTATTTCAATAAAAGTTGTTTAATTTCATCTCCTCTTTCTTATGATGTCTCTTTTATTGCATTTGCTTGTGTTTACATTCATGTGTAGTGAGTAGTTACCCATTAGGGTTTGAGATGGGATAGATTAGAGGTTTCATATGCTTAATCCTTCTTGCTTATGGTCTTAATCTAGATTCTCTCTCTTTTGGATAATCTTAAGGCTACATGACCACTACCCCTGGCTTGTATGTCCTTAGGCGATTCTCCACATGGAAGTGATGGCAAATCGCTGGAAAAGATCCACTAAGAGCTCCAATATCTCTTGCTCTAGAAATGAGGTCTAAGGGGTTGGATGGATTAGTTTGGGCAATGATCCTATGGCCTCCAAGGTTTGATTCTCACTGGCTAACCCCCTGTTTCTGAGATCATTCCTTGGTTGATAGCCTTTCACCTTGGGAAAGGGTTGGCTAGGCATTGAGAAGCCCAATATCAAGAGAAGCCTTGATACAAGGAGTTTTAAGAGCAGATGATTAAGTGTAGATTCCTCTGATTGCAAAACCCTGTCTTGAACCCTAATTTCTCTTTAGCTTGTTAAAGTCGTCACCTTTAGCTTTTTACTTCAACTCGACCCTAAACTCGATCGAGCTGGTACTCTGTTCCTCGACTCGAGTCCTTGGTCGAGCTGTTGCTCTACTGCTTTATTTACTTTTGCATTTCATTTCTTTTCATTTAGGTTGTTAGTGTTACCAAATCTATTACTGCTTGCTTGACTTTCTGTTGTTTCATATTCTCATAGAGTGACAAGTTTCCCATTTTGGATTGATAACCCTTTACTATACAACTATGATGGTTAAAGGGAATTGTTGACTGTGTTTGTGTTTGCATCTTACCACCTCATCATTACCACTGTTGCATTCCACCACATCTCATTTCATATCTTTCACATCCACACACAAATCCTATCATCAATTTGGCGCCGTTGCCGATTTGGGAATATTTTTGTTGCATTTGAGTTTCAAACACACTTGGACGATCAAGCTATACCACCCCTGTTCTATTGTACTGCTGGGTTTTTGTCTCTTTTTGCAGGTGTATGCGAACTCGATCGAGTCGGTCTACAGAAGACTTGGTCGAGCTAGACTTTACAACGGGTAGAAAGAGGGTTCAGAGGTCACAGAGGGTACAAGAGGAACCTGAGGTGCTTGTTGCTGATACAATGGATGTACCAGAGGGGAATGGAAACCCTTTGGGCAATGGACTCGGTCGAGCTAGGCAAACTCGACCGATTGGTCAAGGAGATGCTCCAAACCGCCACCAACAGAGACAAGGGATTGTTCCACCACCAGTGCAGAACCACAACTTTGAGATCAAGCTGGGAATGATCAACCTTGTCCAGAACAAGATGTTCCATGGATTGCCAAGTGAAGACCCCATTGACCACCTTGATGAGTTTGATAGGCTTTGTGATTTGACAAAGATCAATGGTGTCTCTGAAGATGCCATCAAGCTGAGACTCTTTCCTATGTCTCTAGCTGACAAAGCTCACCAATGGGAGAAGAGCTTGCCCCATGGCACAATCACCACTTGGGATGAATGCAAGAAGGCCTTTCTTGCTAAGTTTTTCTCCACCGGTCGCACAGCCAAGCTTAGAGGAGAGATATCCAGCTTCATCCAGCGAAACAATGAGACATTCGCAGAGGCTTGGGAGAGGTTCAAAGGCTACACAAGTCAGTGCCCACACCATGGATTCAACAATGAATCACTACTCTCCACTCTTTATAGAGGATGCTTGCCTAGGTATAGGGAGATGCTAGACACAGCTAGCAATGGGAACTTCCTCAACCAGGATGTAGATGATGGCTGGCAACTTGTGGAGAACATAGCTAACTCAAATGGAAGCTATGGAGAAGAGTATGATCGCACCAACCGGAGCTCGACCCACCACTCGATCGAGTCAGACGAAAAGTTGAGAAAAGATGTTAAGGCATTGAATGAGAAGTTGGATAAGCTGATCCTAGCTCAGTCCACAATGAAGAAAGTCAACTTTGTGTCTGCTGAGGAGATGGAACCAGTCCAAGAAGGGGAGGATACACAATTTGCTGAGGTGTGCTACATGAGCAATGGGCAAGGAGGTTACAACAAAGGATACTATAATTACAAGTCCAACCCTGCCATGTCATACCGCAACACTGATGTTGCTAACCCTCAGGACCAAGTCTATCCTCAACAACAAGCAGCTCGATCGAGTCAAGGCCACAACATGGGTATGGTCAAAAGAACAATTACCAAGGACCCAAGGCACTTTCCCTGGACAACAAATGAATATCCCACCAGGCTTTCCCCACCAACCACCCCAGCCTGCACCTTCACAAGAGAATGAGCTCAAGGCAATGCTAAAGCAACTACTTCAAGGGCAAGCTGATGGGGTAGTGGACACAAGCAAGAAGCTAGCTGAAATAAACTCTAAGATCGAGAACCTCAACACAAGGGTTTACTCTCTGGAGAATCATGCTTCTTCTGTTGCTGCTGCTACAAAGCAAGGACAACTACCTGGTAAAGCTATTCAGAACCCCAAGGAACAGTGCAAGGTCATCTTCACTCAAGAAGGACTTGTTGAAGAAGAGGATCAAGAAAGGGTCATTGAAGATTTTTGTTTACTGCTGAATGATGAAGAGATTGTTGCTGCTGAGGCTCCTGGAGTCCAGATTGATCAACCAGAAGTGCAGGCACCTACTGTGGCCATTCACACTTCACCAGTTGAGCTCGCACAACAAGCTCGATCGGCAGCTCGATCGAGTCCAACTCTAGCTCGATCGAGTCCGACCTCTTCTGTCCAAAGCCTGTTTTGCTTGATCCTTACCAACCGGTTGCCGCTTCCTCGTCTCGCCTACTTAGTCAAGGTCACAAGGAAGTGATTCACAAGTTCAGAAGAGATCTCAGTGGGATTGGAATTGAGTTGCCTCCTATGGATAGCATGAGTGAGGCATTTGATCAAATGCAAATGGTCAAGGATGTTCTAGCCAACAGTGATAAAGTTTCAGAGGTCCTACAAGAGTCTACTCATCAGTTCAACCTGCTTACTTCACCCACCTTCCTACCAAAGGTCAAGGATCAAGGGAAATTCACTCTCCCTTGCACACTTGGGCATCTTGAGCTTGACAATGCCTTAGTGGATTCTGGAGCAAGCATCAATCTGATCTCTCTCTCCATGGCAGAGAAGCTAGGCATTGCTGGAGCCTTGCAGCGCCCTACTACTTCAATCATGTTTGGAGATGCAACTTCTAAGTCTCCTCTTGGAGTGTTCAAGAACTATCACTTGAAAATTGGAGAATGCATCATCCAAACTGATCTTACTGTGGGACTAGCTCAACCAATGCCTAAGAAGGTAAAGGTCAAGCTATGGGACCTTAAACAAGCTCACTTGGGAGGAAGTCCCATGTTTATCCTTGTACATATTCTATTTATGCAATTTCTATCTATTTTATGTTTTAACCTTTCAATAAGTTAAGTTTAGGTGTCAAAGGAGCCAGCTCGACCGACAGCTCGATCGAGCTAGAAACCAGGGCAACTCGATCGAGTTCCACAACTCGACCGAGGTAAGTTTTTGAATTTCAAATTCTAACCGTTTTCTTGGTCAAGGGAGTGGGTCCCACAAGCTGATTTTGGTCCCCCACTACCCTAATTGATCAGAAATCCCTAGCTTTTGTCCCCTCTTTATTTCACCTTTTAATCTCAACCACACATCTCAAACACTCCCTCTTCCCCATAACTCGATCGAACCCCATCTCTCTCTCCCACAACTTAAAATTTCTGAAATCATCCATCTCTCTCTTCACCACAAGAAATCGATTTCCCTTTCTCTCTTAAGTTTTTGCGATTTTCATTGTTCATCATCTTGTTTTGCTTTTTCTAGTTTACTGTGATTCTTCCATCATTCAAGCAAGGTATGAACCCTAAAACCCTTGATTCCTTCATCTCGATTCCTCTATTGCTTGTTTCTCTTTGATTTTTGATTGCATGTGTCCCTTGTGGACTTGTTCTTGAGTAATTGCTTTCATATCTCTCTGTATATTTGAATTTGCTCACCTCACCTCTGTTTTGCCATTAGAACTTGTTGCATGTGCTTGAAAATTGAATTTGAGTTTGGTATTGGTTAAGATGCTTGTTTTCACTAGAATTGCTCATTGTTCCATTTACTAGTTGTTCTTGGTTCAATTTGATTGATTAGCATCTTTTCCAGCTCTTATTTGAATTAGGTTCGGTTATACTCTGTTTTCAACTCGATCGAGTTTGTCACTCGAGTTTTTTGACTCGATCGAGCTGAGTGTCGAGTTGACCAAACCGATCATTACAACTCTAATTCTTTGTAATTTTGATGCATTTCAGGTACTTTAGAAGCAACAAGTTCAAGATGTTGAGAGGTGAGGGAAGCCAAGCAGCTTCAAGAAAGCAAAGGGAGAGAAAGCAAGAAGAATGAGAGAAGGATTAAGATGAAGCGATATGTGAAGAGGAGAAGAGAAATGAGAGATGAAGTCTGATGCAGGGAATGTACTCTGAGGAGCAGTCTGAGAGAGAGATTGAGGGAGAGGAAAGGAGAACCAAGAAGAGGAATGACCCATTAGTAGTGAGAGTGAGCAAGGAGAGTTTGAGATTGGAGTGAACCTTGTTCAAGAGGAGGGAATGGCTCTCCAATGAAGAAGGAAGTGATGAGACTGAGAGTGAAGAGGAAGGAGAAGAGGTCAATCAAGAGATTGAGAAGTGAGCATGAGAGCAATGAGAATGTGCCAATGGAGGAGGCTGAATCAGAGGAAGAGGATGAGCTCCCCATGTACCAAGAGCACTACAATGCTCTCTTCTCCATGGACTTTGTGGAGACCAAGTACCCACATGATGACACATGAAGGCCCTTGGATCTTTGAGGATGTGGAGTTGGTGCTCAAGAACATGCATTGGCCAAGTTCTTCTCTTACCGCATGGAGTCTACAAGGAGCTCACTTGTGAGTTTTTGGTCGATGAGGTCACAAGTATGGAGCTCGATCGAGCTGAGTTGGACCAAGGATTGGGATGGATCACGTTCTTGGCAAGGGAGAGAAGGAAGATGGTGACCTTTAGGCAGCTTGAGATCTGTTTGGGTTCACTATGGAGAAGGAACCAATGGAACATCAAGGAAGATGAACTCCAAAGAGTTGGGCTACAATCGCTGAGGGGTACTCTTCCTCAAGGTCCAAGGCTGCTCAGATCAGGAGCCCAGTGCTTGAGATATGTCCACAAGGCTCTTGCCAACACCTTCTTTGCAAGGAAAGCACTGGACAATCAATGAGGAGAAGTGAAGCTCCTTGACATGGGAATCAAGCCCTATCATCTCACGCACAAGGATGGGAAGAAGATCAGAGGAGATAGCACACAGGGAACTCATGCCTCTCCTTGACCAGCTCTCCCTACAAGTCACAGCCTACAACACTAGGCAAACGGGAAGGAAAGCTAAGTGTTGGAGGGTCATCACACCTATCTTTGTGCAGCTGGAGTCCAACTGGACAAGAGAAGGTCTACTCCAGCAGGTTGGATGGACATCAAGTTTTGCAAGACCAACCTCTCATTGAGCACAAGGAGTTGGATGGGAGTTCCAATTCAAGTTCACACATCCATTGGCTGGCCCTTCCAAGCTTCTCCTGCCCAACCCAGAGCTCACCACAGTAGTCAGGGGTGAGAACATTGACTTCAGACCCCCTGTGTACACATTAGTTGGGCATGAGGATGATTTGCGAGAAGAGGAGCCTGAGCTCGATCGAGCTGAGGATCGAGCTGAGTCTCAAGCTGAAGATCAGTCCAGGAGAGTGCGGATTTGGGTGAGCCTGAGTGCTATTACTTTGAGGAGTATGAGGCTCCAAGGATGAACCCCTCTGTTGTGGCTGCCCACAAGAGGATTGGACTTCTCCAAAAGTTCAACAAATGGCAAGGGAAAGCCATTGAAAGATGCAAAAGTCCATGGACAAGATGGTGAGCAAGATCAAAAGTTTGGAGAAGAAGGTTTCTGGTTCTTCAAGCAAGAAGAAGAAGTCCAATGGCCCCCACTTTCCCTAGGAGTAGATCACTCCTCACCACTCCAAGGAGGCTCCCTGCCCAAGAGCCTCACAGAGCCTCTTCTTTCGAGCCAAGGGAAGGAGAAGACAACACGCAGAGAAGGAGGAAGAGCTCCAAGGCCAGACGCTCCAGCTCGACCACCGGACTCGATCGAGTCCAAACAGAGGAAACTCAACTCGATCGAGCTGAGGGTCGAGTTGACCTGGAGGAGCCCCTGTTTGAGAACCCTGGATTCGAGTACGATCCAACGCCTTACCAGGACTTCCTCAGAGATGGACCCCTACAAGCTTCGAGCAAGCCAGCTCCACCAAGGCCAAGGAGCCACACACACTTCGATGAAGAAGAGGAAGAAGAGGAGCCGCAAGCTCGATCGAGTGAGGAACCCAGTCGAGTGGAGTGCTCCTGATGGCCGTCTCCCATCTCCAGACCACGACCTGCCTCCCAGTTCTTTGGGGGGCACTGAGGTATCCAAACACCAACCCTTGTATATACCATTTCATATTTTTCTTTGCTTTTTTTTCTTGGTTTTGCCCTCTTGAATCTTTCACTAAATTTTTCTCACACAAGGGACTGTGTGATTTAAGTTTGGGGGAGGGTTCAAGAGATGATTTAACCTTGTTTTCTTTGTTCTTAGTTTTTCATTCATCTTTTGCATAGAAAAACCAAAAAAATCATAAAATTTTCAAAAAATCCAAAAATATTTTCATCTTTTTGCATTCATATTTGTTAGACTTGTTTAGGATTGCATTTTCACTTGCATTGTTGATTTGACTTTGAAAACTTGTCCATCTTTTGCGATTTCTTGAGTGCCCTGTTTTTAGATTCTTTTGTGCATTAGGGTGAGATTGATTGAGCAGCAAGAACCATGTTTATCTTGATCATATCACTGCATGCACATCTCATTCAACCATTGCTGTGATTTGATGCATTTCCCTATCTATTTGAACCATAACTTGATCTTTAATTACCAATGCTTGCATTTGATTTCAACTCATGGCTACCACATACATATCTGGACATTCTTTACCATTTTCATATCCCTTTGCTTGTCCAGATAGCTGATCTCTATCTTTGAGACAGTTACCACACCTTAAACCTAAGCCTTTTCATTTCAAACCCCATATTATCTCTTGTGCGAATGTGAGAACCTTTCTTGGCTTTGCTTAGCATAAGGTGTTGTGTTTAAACCGGCAGGGGCAGTAGTTCTAGTTGTCTAGTTCTCTTGGGATTGTTTTCAGGCTAAGTTTGGGGGTGCCAACTCGAGCTCGATCGAGTTGGGTGTAAAAACCAGAAAAGTGGTAAAAGTTGGGAAAAATCCAAAGGAAAAAGAGTTTAGTTAAGTCCAGGGAGTTGGCAGTGTTAAAAAGGGTCTAGTAAAGGTTTGGGAAGTTAAAAAAGGAAGTAAAAAGGGTTCTAAGTAGAATGAAAAGAAGGCAAAGCCTCAAGTGTCAAAAAGGAAAGAAAAGTTCCCTAAGTGTTTAGAAAATCCCAAACCGCTAGATGTTACCTCAAGAAGCCTCTCCCTAGGAAGTTCTTAAAAGAAAAGTGAGCAAAGCTCCTCAGTTTCAAAGGCGAAATGCCAAAAAGGGTAGTTAGGATTTTGTTCTAAAAAGCTCTAAGTGTTGAACTCGATCGAGTTAGGATTAGGCGGCTCGAGCTGCTGTTCTTGCATCATCTTTGGTTCTAACACTTAGCCTTCTGCCAAAGCAAAGCCACTTTCTTGAGAGATCCCTGTTACTAAACCACCATACAAAAGAGACCCTCTTTGTCTCTTAACCCATAAACCCTTGAAACCAAATGAGTTGATTGATCTTGCATGTTTTTGGTTCACTGTTTTTGCTTAATGAATGTTAAAGGGATTTGCTGATTTGAATGCATTGTTTGAGTGACTGTGAAGTGGGATTGATGTTGATAAGCATGGTTAAATCTTAATGAATATCTCTCACCTTGTTGCATTCTAGAATCTCTAAGTTGGACATTTAGCAAATCGCTTTTGAGGACATGTTTTTAAGTGTTGAATCAGCTGTTTTCAAACCTCATCTCTTTCTTGTTCTATTTGTTTGCTTGAGGGCAAGCAAAGTTCAAGTTTGGGGGTGTTGATGTACTTGCATTTTACATAGTTTTAGTACATCTTTTATGCATCTTTTGCATAGTTTTAGCATCCATTAGCATCATATCTTGTTCCTTTTCTCTTCTTATGCATTCATGTTAGTTTTAGGTTGCATTTGCATACATATGCATGTTTGGTCCTTTGAAATAGGTCTTTTGGAGCATTCTGGAGCATATGGGACAGAGGAGCATGGAGGGACTTGGCACATGGACGCAGCTCAACTGGATACGCAAAGGAAGAAGGAGAAGCCATCTTGAAGACCAGCTCGACCGTCTACTCGACCAACCGGTCGAGTTCCTCAACTCGACCGGCCAAGCTTCAACTCGATCGAGCTGAGAAGTCAAAGTCAAACCCGAAAAATGTTGCTTCCCCCTTGACTTTCCTTTGACCCTAAACCTAATCCTCTTTGTATTTAAGGCTAAAAGCCACGAAAAAACCACCAAGCTTTAGATTACTTTTTGTTTTAGTTTCTTTTTAATTATTGATCTTTATCTTTTGTATTTGCACTTGCTTATTTCTTTAATCTCCTCTTTCTTATGATGTCTCTTTTATTGCATTTGCTTGTGTTTACATTCATGTGTAGTGAGTAGTTACCCATTAGGGTTTGAGATGGGATAGATTAGAGGTTTCATATGCTTAATCCTTCTTGCTTATGGTCTTAATCTAGATTCTCTCTCTTTTGGATAGATCTTAAGGCTACATGACCACTACCCCTGGCTTGTAAGTCCTTAGGCGATTCTCCACATGGAAGTGATGGCATCGCTGGAAAAGATCCACTAAGAGCTCCAATATCTCTTGCTCTAGAAATAGAGGTCTAAGGGGTTGGATGGATTAGTTTGGGCAATGATCCTATGGCCTCCAAGGTTTGATTCTCACTGGCTAACCCCCTGTTTCTGAGATCATTCCTTGGTTGATAGCCTTCACCTTGGGAAAGGGTTGGCTAGGCATTGAGAAGCCCAATATCAAGAGAAGCCTTGATACAAGGAGTTTTAAGAGCAGATGATTAAGTGTAGATTCCTCTGATTGCAAAACCCTGTCTTGAACCCTAATTCTCTTTAGCTTGTTAAAGTCGTCACCTTTAGCTTTTTCTCAACTCGACCCTAAACTCGATCGAGCTGGTACTCTGTTCCACTCGACTCGAGTCCTTGGTCGAGCTGTTGCTCTACTGCTTTATTTACTTTCTGCTTTCATTTCTGTTTCATTTAGGTTGTTAGTGTTACCAAATCTATTACTGCTTGCTTGACTTTCTTGTTGTTTCATATTCTCATAGAGTGACAAGTTTCCCATTTTGGATTGATAACCCTTTATGCTACACAACTATGATGGTTAAAGGGAATTGTTGACTGTGTTTGTGTTTGCATCTTACCACCTCATCATATACCACTGTTGCATTCCACCACATCTCATTTCATATCATTTCACATCCACACACAAATCCTATCATCAGGTATGTTTTTCCCTATGTGTTCAACAAAGAACTCTTTTGTTGACATGGTCCAAGAGGAGAAAGTTACTTTGAAGCCACCCCAAGAAGGAGAAACTGAAGAACATCAAGGAAGATCCCATTCCTAAGCCCAAGCAGCTTGCCAAACAAGCAAGGAGTAAGACTAAGGCCCCTACACCAAAACCGCCCAAGGGATCAACCAAGATTGAAGATGAGGCCAAGCCAAGAAGAAGGTTAGAAAACCTAGGTCTGGCCGCAACATGAAGCTTCTATTCCCAAAGGAGCTTATTGATGAGAATCTAGAAGGATTCAAGGAGAAAGTTGACAAGAACTCTAAAGCTTTTTCCTAAGGCAGTGTGCCAAGGGACATTCATGGAGAGATTGTCTATCCAGCTGTGAATCACCCACCAGATACTCATTGCAAGGAGAAAAGACTTGGAGGATCAAAGATGCCTCTTGTCTCCATCTTCTCCTGAGCGCCAAGCCTTACAGTCAAGCTAAAGACTTAAAACAAGCGCTGCATGGGAGGCAACCCATGAGGTACTTTTACTTTTCTTTCTTTAATTTCTTAGTTTTTGTTTTGCTTTTGTGTTTTCTTTGTTTTAAGATAGGATAGAAGGAGAAAAAGGTGTGAAAACACAATCCGCGCCAAAACATTGGCCGCGGACGCGCAAAAAATTTTGGCCGAGCAATTTCCAATCGGGCCGACCGTACGGTCGAGCCGGGAAGGAACGGCTATGCTCGGCCGGAGTTCACACGCGACAAAACCGTCGCGCGGCACGCACGAACAGAGAAGGAACGGCCGCGATCGGCCGATTTGTATCGGAACGGACCGACCGTGCGGTCGATCCGGGAAACAAACGATCGGCCTCGGCCGAAATTCTCTCGTCCAACGAATTTGGCCGACCAAATCGCTCGACCGCGACAAAATCCATCGGCCATCGGCCCAAAATTTTCTCGGCCAAGGTAAGTCCCCTTTTCATTAAATTCAAACCGGTTTTAACCAATCCTAAACCAACTTAAACCGGTTTTCAATCAAAATTCGAATTTGAAAAGGAAAATTGATAGGATTAGATCTTTTATACTTTACCTTTCCCTTGAAAACAACAAGAACCTCTCTTTCTTCTCCAAAACCCTAAACTCCATTAGAGGAACTCTAAGAGTTTTGATTTCAAAACTTTTACTGTTCATAACTCTAAATTGGAATTTACTTGCTCTTGCAACCTTATTCACTTTTCAATACACAAGGTATGTCTTCTAACTCTAATCCTATGTTTATGCAAGATCGAAATTCTCAATAAGTTTCTTGTTTGGTCTAAACTCTTGTCTAAACTTGAAATTACATCCTTATTAGTCTTGTAATGAACTTAGCTAGGTGGAACCTAGGTGGTTTAGAGTTAATTTGAAGTTTAATTTCACAATTGAATAGTTTTTCACAAAACTTATTGGGCATTCCAAACCCCTTATTCAAAGGTGAAATTGCTTAGCATACTTCAATTCATTAGTTTATCTAGTGATTACTTGGATTAGAAACTCAATTTCTCTTGATTTGCTAAAATTTCGATTTTAAGCACCATAATCTTGGATGAACAGTAAAATCCGAAAATTAACTTTTGAAAAAGTGAAATTTCCATTTTGTCTCTTTGATTCATGATTAAGCCTTGAGTTGTTCATTATTCCATATCATTATTACAACTCAATTAGCTTATTCTTCTTTTGCATTAATCACAAACTCATATTCTCTTCCCAAGAATTTGCTCTTGTAGGTACCCAATGGCAAAGACAAAAGGAAATGAGAGTATGAAGAAGAAGAAGAACCCATTCATGGCAACCACCAAAGAAACAAATCAAGCTAGGGAGTAGTAGCTCCAATGCAAGAGCAGCAATACCAACTTCACCACATTCCATTGATGCAATCAAGAACATGTGGAGAGTCCAAGAGGAGAAGATGATTGGGCACTTGTAAGCTTTGTTGGAGAACAAAATCAAGACCCAAGAAAGTGTAAGAAGGCAATGGAGAAGGTGAACATCGAACCTTGTGTGAAGATGGACACCCAAACCCTTGATCTTCTCAAGATAAGAGATGATGTCACATGGTACATAAGGAAGCTAGGCTTGAGCAAGCTCTTCAAGCTAGATGTAGTGAGTACTCACAACTCACCAAGGAGTTCCTCTCCACAGTAGCTCTTGCCTTTCCCAACCACAATGGAGACCAACCAGCTGGTGATGGACTCCTACTCTTCAAGATAGGCGATGCCAATGGGCGCATCTCCATCTCAGCTCTATGCCAACTCTTTGGACTTCCCAATGAGACAGCACATGACTTCAAGGAGAACTCAAAGAGGAAACAAGCTGCCTTTGCTGATTGGACACACTTTGCCAATGAACCATTCTTGCCTTCAAGTCAAAGGTGTCTAGAATCACTCATCCAGCCATTCGCTATGTGCACCGCCTCATCTCCACCACTTTCCAATGCAAACAAGAAGCCAACAAGGTCACAACTGATGAGTTCTACATCCTCACCACACCATTCATCAAGCATGAGTACAAGGCCAACCTTGGACTTTTACTTGCCAAGACATTCATCAATGTGAGGAAGCTAGCTAAAGACTTGGAAGGCAACAAGAAGCTTTGTGTTCGTTTTGGGAGGCTTATCACGGCCATAGTGCAACATGTGGGGATTGACATTCCCAACTATGAGCCACTACCCAAGCCAACCCCTTTGGATCTCCATGCTCTTCAGCACATCCACTTCCTAAACCGTTGGACTAAAGACCCAACTCGGTTTTGCTATGAGTTTCCAATTGGTCCAGCCAACACTTCCCTTGTCTTGCTGCCACATGAAGACATCCCAAGCCTACGCTCAGGAGTTGTCACTTTCCAGCCCAATGAGGAAGACTTCTATGTTCCATCAAGTGAGAAACCATCATTCCCCATGCTCACCTATCGCACACTTCAGCATGCAGTCAAGACTCAACGCCGCCACCAAGAACGCCATGTTCTCACTACTGGCATGGCGCGCACCAAGCTCTAGACCGTGTAAGCAAGCTGGAGAAGATAGTGGAATGCCAATCTCGCTTCATCTCACGCCTAGTCGTGTAGTTCGCCACATTGCACCGGAGAGACTCTAGAAAAAAATAAAATGATACCCTATAAAAGAGGGAGAAAGAACTCATTGCATTGAAAGACAATCTTGGAGAAGATCAAGTGGGTAAGAACAAGCTCAATTGATCGATGTTCCCTTGATAAAGAACTCACGCTTTAAATTTATGCAAGAGGTTAGCAATAGAGAGTTTGGATTGCTGGATGAGACTAGTTGGGTTGGTATTGTTCGCTAAACTTGCAGGGTGTATGTGAAGCTAACCTTATGTTGTCTATGTTCTTAGTGGAATACAGGAAAGGAACCTTTCACAGGATATTCAAAAGAGCAAGGGAGTTTCCACGTTTTCAAACCTCTTTCACGGATCTAGATTCTTTTTGCTTGAGGACAAGCAAAGATCTAAGTCTGGGGGAGTTGATATACCTCTATTTTACATGCTTTTTATACTATTTTAGTATTGTTTTCTAATGGTTTTTGGCAGGTTTTCTATCTAAAAAGGTAGTTTTACTGTGTTTATAGTGTCTAGAGTCTAAACAGGTGAAATGATGCATTTTGGAGCAAAACCATAGGATTTGCACTTCAAGCCGCTCCATGCACAAGCATCAACTTTAAGAGGGCCCAGAAAAAGATCTACTCAATGGATTTCATCAAGACCAGTTCCCTGCGTGCTCTGATTGAGTTAACTTTCCAACGCAACTGGAATGGCCTCATTTGGATGAGTAGAAAAGGAGTTACAACCAAAAGAGTGAAGACTGTCCAGACGGCTCTATCGAGAATCAGCGCCCAAACCGCGCAGTCCGGCTGGCCGAGGAACGAACGTTTCCACGCTCGGCCAGAATCACATCCGTCCGTCTGAAGTCTCGGCCAAAGTCCAAAACCGTTCGGCCGATCACGCATCACGACCCGGGAAACTGCCCGCGGTCGGCCACGCCACAACCGCTCACGCCATGCCGCGCGAGCCGGGAACAAAGCCTCGCGGCCGCGCAACCTTCTCGCGTACCACGGCCGATGCGCCGTCCGAGCCGGGAACTACGTCCCGCGTCCGCCGAGAAATCATCGGCCAATCTTATCCGTCCGACCACAGCGGCCGACCACGAATCCGTCCGGCCACGACCGTTCCGATCGTACAGGACGGCCGATGTCCGGCCGATCGTCCCGACCGACCGTCCCAACGCCGCGGTCGACCCGAAGCCCGTTTTGAAGCCCGTTTCACATATTTTCAAGCCCGGCTTAACCCTAAGCCGCCTCTAAAGACCTAGCACTATATATATAGCTTTTTAGCCTCTTGTGAAAAGAGAGCCGCCCTTGTATCACGATTTCCTACTCTAAGTTTTATTGCAATCATGTTTTCTTCATCTCTATGTGTGTTTGCTTTGATCATGTCTGAGTAATCCACTAGTTAGGTTGCTAGGGTTACTAATCAATGAGTTGCTTGCATGATCTTTGATTTCGATGATTAGCTAGGGATTATATTAGAGTCTTTGTCTCGTCTTGTGCACTTAACTAATGCTGATTGCTTTACCGCGCATCTAGTAATCCGATCTTAGGTTGATTTGAGCCTCGACAGTGTTGTATCATTCGCCGGACATATTCTTTGACAAGCTAGGTTTCTTAGACTGCGAAAGTTGATCTACTATAATCTAGTGAACTGTATCAGAACCTATTCATTCTAAAGCTTGATTTAATCACCTAGGGACATACCAAAAGTTTAGCGACTAGGTAGATTAACAAAGGAGCCGGAGCCTCGAAAGTGGAATGGTTTTATATTCGTGATCTGTGTTCTAGACGGTTCTTAATATCCCAACATCCCTAATCAATTCATCTATCATTGTTTCATTGATCATTGCTTGCTTCTCTGCGATTAGCCCCTGTTGACCTAGCGCTTTTCCTTATTGTTTACAACCTCGTTATACTTGCTAGTTCGGTTCACCATTACAACCTCAATCATACTTTTGTTTTAGCTTGATCCAAAATCCATAGTTTCAAAGTGTACTCAATAGCCAGTCCTTGTGTTCGATACCCATACTTCCGCGATCTGTGCACTTGCAGAGGTCTAGGAGTTTGGTAAAACCTGACTCCACATCACCCCTTACAACCGCTTCGAGCGAACCCAGCTCCACCAAGGCCAAGGAAGCCACACCCATTTCAAGGATGAAGAGTGGAGAAGAGGAGAGCAAGCTCGACCGAGTTGCACGAAGTGGTCGATGGAGTGCTCCTGATGGACGTCTCGCCCCTCTCCTGACCACGACCTTGCCTCCCAGTTCTTTGGGGGCACTGAGGTATCAAACATCAACCTTGTACATACCATTTCATATTTTCTTGCATTTGTTTTTTTTTTCTTGGTTTTGCCCTCTTGAATCTTTCACTAAATTTTTCTCACACAAGGGACTGTGTGATTTAAGTTTGGGGGAGGGTTCAAGAGATGATTTAACCTTGTTTTCTTTGTTCTTAGTTTTTCATTATCTTTTGCATAGAAAAACCAAAAAAATCATAAAATTTTCAAAAAATCCAAAAATATTTTCATCTTTTTGCATTCATATTTGTTAGAATTGTTTAGGATTGCATCTTTCATTGCATTGTTGATTTGATTTTGAAAACTTGTCATCATTTGCGATTTCTTAAGTGCCCTATTTCTAGATTCTTTTGTGCATTAGGGTGAGATTGATTGACAGCAAGAACCATGTTTATCTTGATCATATCACTGCATGCACATCTCATTCAACCATTGCTGTGATTTGATGCATTTCCCTATCTATTTGAACCATAACTTGATCTTTAATTACCAATGCTTGCATTTGATTTCAACTCATGGCTACCACATACATATCTGGACATTCTTTACCTATTTTCATATCCCTCTTGCTTGTCCAGATAGCTGATCTCCATCTTTGAGACAGTTACCACCTTAAACCTAAGCCTTTTTCATTTCAAACCCCATATTATCTCTTGTGCGATTGTGAGAACCTTTCTTGGCTTTGCTTAGCATAAGGTGTTGTGTTTAAACCGGCAGGGGCAGTAGTTCTAGTTGTCTAGTTCTCTTGGGATTGTTTTCAGGCTAAGTTTGGGGGTGCCAACTCGAGCTCGATCGAGTTGGGTGTAAAAACCAGAAAAGTGGTAAAAATTGGGAAAATCCAAAGGAAAAAGAGTTTAGTTAAGTCCAGGGAGTTGGCAGTGTTAAAAAAGGGTCTAGTAAAGGTTTGGGAAGTTAAAAAAAGGAAGTAAAAAGGGTTCTAAGTAGAAAGAAAAGAAGGCAAAGCCTCAAGTGTCAAAAAGAAAAGAAAAAGTTCCCTAAGTGTTTAGAAAATCCCAAACCGCTAGATGTTACCTCAAGAAGCCTCTCCCTAGGATGTTCTTAAAAGAAAAGTGAGCAAAGCTCCTCAGTTTCAAAGGCGAAATGCCAAAAAGGGTAGTTAGGATTTTGTTCTAAAAAGCTCTAAGTGTTGAACTCGATCGAGTTAGGATTAGGCGGCTCGAGTTGCTGTTCTTGCATCATCTTTGGTTCTAACACTTAGCCTTCTGCCAAAGCAAAGCCACTTTCTTGAGAGATCCCTGTTACTAAACCACCATACAAAAGAGACCCTCTTTGTCTCTTAACCCATAACCCTTGAAACCAAATGAGTTGATTGATCTTGCATGTTTTTGGTTCACTGTTTTTGCTTAATGAATGTTAAAGGGATTTGCTGATTTGAATGCATTGTTTGAGTGACTGTGAAGTGGGATTGATGTTGATAAGCATGGTTAAATCTTAATGAATATCTCTCACCTTGTTGCATTCTAGAATCTCTAAGTTGGACATTTAGCAAAGC